ATGGTATGTTGTATGAAGAGTCATAATACAGTGTAACTCCTACTGGAGAACGGCTGTGAGGTAAATCTTTGTGTTGAAGAGTTAGTTGGGTAAGCTAATTTATTAAAAAAAAAAAAAAAGTTTTCTGTACTGTGGGCCGTATGCAGAAGAGCATAAGAAAGCAGCTGGGTACTTTCGTGTTGTTCCCCTTGCTTCCAGCACTCACAGCACCCCACAGCCAAGTGGAAATGGGATCTGCTCCCCCTTGTGTTTGCGCCAGGTTACAGACAACTCAGAGGTGAAAATTCCAGCATTACCTTTGCTGGAACACTGTTCATTTCAGCATGACACGATTGCTGGGAATCCCCACAAGTGGAGCGGAGTTTGGACTTTGTGGTACCTAACATAACCATTTTGCTGATGATTCATGCCTCTATTGCAGCATTTTAATCTGCTTTGCTCAGTTTCAAGATCAAAAGGATTCTCCCTATTATTCATGTTTCTTGAAGACTGAGCTGTACGGAGCTGTTCCAATGCCTTTTATACAGAAAGAAGACACAGAAATTGTCATGCTGAATTGCAGACTTCAGGACTTGCATGGACAGGAGAAGTCCACCTATGTTCTCAGATATTTGCACTTAATAAGGAGAACTTCACAATACCATAAAGAAGAGGGGCCTCTTGCTACCAGAACACTTCTATTTATAATCCAGAGGTGTTCCTATTAGGAAATAAATAAAGTCAGCTAGTACTTTCTGATACATAGGTGGGAAAAGACTACCTTTAGAAAGTAATTTGTCACAAGAGGAAGCTGGACAAATTTCTATTAGAGGAATGACATTTTTAGCATACAGAATAAAAGCTAATTAAAACTGCCTGTTTATGGACATGGCAGATAAATCCTGAAAGTCTTTAAGTCAAGCCTGAGCATCTTTTAAAAGTCTATGTTAGAGCCCAACAGAAGTGATGAGCTTGAGACAGCATTATTTAGTGTGGCACTATGGCCTTTGGTAGGTCATGGGGTCAGAGAGTATAAGTCACTAGGGCTTCCTTTTCTGATGGCTTTAATCTTTGAAACCTTCCAGTGAAACTGTGTGACCCATTATTAGCAAAATGCATAAAAAATGGCCAAAGTGCATATTTGGTTGCACGTCACACCATAAATTACCAACAGGACTATTCTGACCGATACGTTTTCACTGAAATTAGCCAAGAAAAAAATGGGGAAACAGTGTTCCCACTGTCACTGCTGCCTATCAGCAGGCATCACCACAAAGAGGCGATGTTTGCAGTCCCCCAGCCAGGCCTCTGCCCCCAGGAGGAATGCTCACCTCTGCCAGACCAGCCAGCACTGCTGCACAGACAAGCAGCTTGTCAGTCCACTGTGTTTCGATCTGCTGGCCAGAGAAGCAGGCTGCCCATCCTCACTGCCCATCTGCCTATGGGATGAAGCCATCCTCCCATCTTTTTGAAATCCCTTTCATGAAGCTCCTCATAGAACTCACCTGTAAAGCACCAGCACTAATACCTGACTGCTTTACAGACTGGGAGCCATAGGATGGTGTTGACTATCTATGTTTGAGCCCACAGGAAAACAGGGGATTTCAAGAAGAAATGGGATTTAAAATAAAAGAACAAAGACACCTTAGATCAGGAACACCGTGTCAGGGCACAACGTGCAGGGCCTGATGTGGCTAGAGGAATTTCGTGCCCACAGCAGTTGGTTTTCCTGCCAGCAGCACCAGCAGAGGGCACAGCCTGGAAATGTGCCTCCATTCCTTCAAGGTGCAAGCAGGGCTCAGTGATCACCTCCTGCCCCACTGCCTTTCACAGCACAATCTCCCAGACCATAAACAGGACCAAATTCCAGTTTTATACATTCTTTAACAAAAGTTTTACTTGGTTAGAGCTATGGTTGTTCCAATACCTTTACTCATAAAAACGAACATATTAAAAAAAGACATTATTAAAGAGATATTCATCTTCAAGCTAAGACATTGAAATCAAACCAAACATAAAAAACTGGGAAAACACACTGTAACTCACTCAAGAGTGTAACAAAATACTACCACTGCAAAAAACCACAAAAGTAATAACCTCATTTAAGAAATCTATTCTGTTCTTCAACCTCCTTCCCTCCCCCCCCCCCAACAGGAGACTGTGAAAGCATCCAACATTTTTTCTAATTCTAAGATGAAGCGCAAGAAATAAATCTATCATTTGCTGAAAAATTACCTTAAATAACAACAATACTTTAATAACATCCACAGCCACCACAATTCTTTTACCCCTCCCGGGAAGGTTTCCCAATGTATGCGAGTGAATTAGGAACTAAACTTCTTTGTAAATACAATTTGAGCAGTGAATTAAAGTATGGTTCCTAAATCACTTGAGAATATAAATTAAGCTTCTTGGTCATTTGGTCTCATAACATTTTTATTTCTCTCCCTATCTCTATTTGGATTGAAGGTATATGTCAGTTTATTTTTATAGCAAAAGACAGCAGCTGTAATGCAGACTCCAATACATATTTTAAAAATAGTATTTCTGAGGTTCCCTTTCTTTCACACTCCCACGCTACAGAGAAAACAAAACAGATTTGAGTAATGAAAAAATGCTATAGATAAAAATCGCAGCTTGTATTCTGTATCCTGCAAGTATATTCCAGGCCACATTACAAAGTCAAACATAGAAATCTTTTGCTTCCTAATGCATACAAGTGGGGTGAATTATTTTGTTTTATGAATTGCATCTCTAAAGTTTTTTCTGGGTTACTTTGCTGGATTTGGGTGTTTAAACATCTTACAAGCAGGAAAACAAGTTTCAGAGGCAAAAAGGCAGCTAGGTTTGCTGGCTGAATGAAAGGAAATTTCTTAGTTTATCACATCCACAAAACACCATCTGCAGATCTTCCAGGGTCTCTTTTCTATAGTTTGGAGAGTAATTTGCTAAACTGCAAGATAAAAAAATTCTGCACACAACACAAGTTGCATAGACAGGCAAAAGGGCAAAGGTGGAGTAGCTATCCACTGTGTACTTGATGCTGAGTCTAACGCTTCTGGAAAGATGCAGCTCATCACCCCATCTGGATTTGTCTACATGTGTGATAAGTCTGACAATTCCTGAGCATCCGGAAGCAAACTCATTCAGCATGTGCCATAAAATCGTTTTGTTTCCATGCAGTGAAATGTAGAAATAAAGGACAGAAACACAGTAACTCCATTCCTCTACATAAGAAAGGGGAGATCATGTTAAGATTAGTGGCTGTAGAACACATAGAACCCTCCAATCAGAAAACAGACCCATTCCCACAAGTTTTTGTTCTTAAACAGCTAAGTACCTTGCGCCTTGTTGCATGAAGTAGATTTCACTTTCATACAATTTACTCAGGGAACCAAATAGAAGAGTTAAAAATTAGAATTAAGCCTTATTTTAGAATCTTACCTTGTACAACCTTCCTTAACTAGAAAGTGCTAGCCTGCAAGCTCAAGGTTTTTTCCCTTTTTAATCTACACACACACGCAAAGCAATATCAGTCAGGTTACAGAATCCAGTACATATGTGTTATGAAATTGCAGAAGTAATGTGCAATCTAAACTCAACCTAAATATTTATCTAGGCTTGATTAATAGTTTATGATAGAATCTTCTAATACATAGCATTAATGTTGCTTTATTTAATGCACAAGATAAACAGTGCTCATTTTAAGAGCAGCCTGCTCTGCAGTATTTTCTTTTGTTCCACTGCTCATATTATAATCCTTTATAGTGGGCTCTATTTCCTATACATGGTTCAAAACCTGCTATGAAGACAAATTTATTTACTTTGTCCAGGCATTTGTATGGTGCTCATCATTAGGGGATACAAGTGATTCAGATGTATTATCTTTATTGCAGCATTGTAAAAGTCTGCATCTGTCTTCTACAGATGACAAAAGATGTGCACTGAGATTACAGTTAGAGCGATACAGGTACACAAAATCTCAGACATCTGGCACATGAGCTGGAATAGTAGATAGCACTATCCATTATTCTGTAGGCTCAAAACAGCTCTCTAGTGACTTCAGGAGTAAGTGTGGGTGTTCAGCACTTCTGATTAATCAGAGCGTGGGATCTCACAATCAGCATGCAGAAGCTGGGGAATACATGCATGATATGAAAAACTTACTGACTTTACTAAACATCAGTGGCAGAGACAAGACTACAGTCCTATTTTTCAGACTCTTATCTAACTTCTCACCTATGTATTTCCTTTCCTATAGTCTCTGATTTATCTACTACATGCCATCCAATTGCACGAAATGAGCAGTCTTCCACTGCACAAGCCTATGTGCTCTAGGTGGGTCTAACTTGTAGTCTGGATAAGGCAGAAATCCCACAGGAGGTGAGGACACAGAGAAAGGCAGCATGTAATTACATAGTTAAAGACTGTGTTCTAATACACATGAAAAAATGAACTATCTTAAACGTTCTAAAATTTGTCATAACTTCTGAGTACTCCACTTTGCTACCTTAAAAATGCTCTTTGTACATTATTTTTTCATGTTATTGCCATATGAAATCCCATCCTTTGTATGTCAGAGAACTCACTTATGCTACAATAGAATTTTGGAAGGGCAACAGAGGACAAAAAGAAAAATATTTCCATACAAAACTTCTTTGAATTTTATGATTTGCTTTTTGCTTAAGGCATCGTTGGTTTATTTTGATTTTTTTGGGGGTGTTGTTTTTCAACTAAAACATGGAACTAATTTCACATGTGTGCCTTTTATGAAAAAACATGCATGGTAAATAGTCCCTTGTTTAATTAAGAATGTATTTTCCATTATATTTATTGAAGAATAAAACTGAAGTCTCATTTAAGCACTGTGATTTGGATCACTTAAAAAGGTTGGATGAAAAATGAAAGCTAGATGAATATCTGAATGACCAAGGTGTGATTATCCACAGGAGGACTTTGATATTGTGGGTTATGTGGCAAATATACCATTAAAAGTATCCCCTAAATAATCCAATAGAAACCCATTCCAATTCCTACAGTGTCTTTCTCTTACTGTCATTAGTATTTTGTGGTTTTGCCTGTGAACTGAATGGAATTTCTTTTCCATTTAGACGATGGAAAACACCCCGACTCTTCCCAGCACAGAGTAGCATTTTATATATCGCAGGCTATGCGGGTAACTCCTGCTGGGCGATCTCATCTTCGGGGGGCTGGGCTGAGGTCTGTGTCGGGGAGGAGGATTCCCGGCCCCGGGCACGCTGCTTTCCAACGCCTGACCAGGAGCATCCTCTAGCGGCCAGTGCCTTGGGAAGGCCCTGCGTTCCCCATAATCAAGAATCTTCTGGAAAACTGAGAAATCAGCAACTGAGGGAAACGGGCACAAGCCAAAAGGCCACTCACAAGATGAAGGATTTTTCACCCAGTCTTATTTATGCCCTTGTGTCAGACTAAATAAGAGACAATTCTCTCCTGGGCCCTGAGTAGCACAGAGACCTCTTTATCTCTCTACTCAGGAAAACTCTCATCATCAAGGAACCAGCTCAGAAGCGCTTTGGCATGTCAGACAAAAACAAAAGGAAAACAAACAAAAAAAAACCCACAAGTAAAAAACCCCAAACAAACAAAAATACATCTCAACAGTCCCTAATCCCCCCCCAAAAAAACCTCCAAACCAAACCACCCCACAAATCTAAACAGTTTTAAAGTCCTAGAAGAATGAAGAATGAAATATGTGCAAAGAGATACAGGTGGGTACTGTGTACAAAACTGTGTGAAGTGCATTATATTTGCATTAATTTTGTAGCCACTTCAGTTAAACAACAGCCACATTAGATTCTAATCAGTATACAGTGCAAAACAGAGGCCAATGTGAAGAAAAAAAAAAGACAGAAAAAAGAGCAATCCCATGTGCTTGCCATTTCCCAGCCCATAAAACAATCTAATTGTGGCTAAAATAAATAAATAAATAAATAGATAAATAAAGAACTAAATTGCCCAATAAGGCTTCCCCAATTTAACTGCTTGGGAGCTTTACATATGTGGACTGAAGTTTGTCTCTATACTATTATTATGACCCAAGATTAAGGCAAGTAAAAAGCCTATGGTGGGTATGCTCTGGCTGAAAACATAAACTAGTTTGTTAGGGAATAAATCGCACAGCAAGGTAAAGCAACTAGAAGGCAAAGCACAGGTGTCTAGTATCTTACAGGCTATGAGGATTGCATCTGGGACCAAAAATGGCCACCTCAAGTGTAGCAGGAAGAGGAACAGGACCAAGAGCACATTGGAGTTTGGTAGCGACACTGGCTTTCATGAGGCTCCCAACCTCACGGCTGCGCTCTTGTCTCTTTTCCTTTGCTTGTGTGCTTTCTCTCTAGCAGCATTTGCCCTCCAAACAAATCAAAACCCAGCACACTCACCTGGACTACTCCTAATATTCTAAAACATTCCAGCCATGTCTGGTTTAGGAAAATAGGTAGCATACTTTGACAGGTATGACAGCAAGATGGACAAGTGCAGACAGTATATTCACAAAAATTACTATGTTTGACTTCCAGGCAAAGCTTAAAATTAGTCATGTCTTAATGGGTAATATTTTGAAATAATATTTCCTATTTACCTTAGGTTTCTACTGAGAATCATTTTAGTGAAACTTTGCCATGTTTTAAAGCACCCTGTATTTGCCTGTCTTCTCATGAAAGGAAAATATGACTCAGTTTTCTTTCAATTGTGACTGGATGCAGTTAGAGACAGGAGAGCACCATGCCAGGAGCAATGACTAAGGCACCATGCGTCCTTATGGATGAGTAAAAGAATCATTGTTACTAATATATAAACATATGGCACAGACCATATGCATTGGTGATGTAATCTTACAAATTATCTTTTATATTGAAGTGCAGTGGAAACCAATAAACTCCTCTGGTAAAGATACAACACAGTAGGGAACCAAATATAAATTCTTAAGTCTCAGTCAGACTACTTTAAATCAGGTCATGGCATGGCATAGATATTTGCAAGTGGCAAATTTGCCAGTTCTTTATGGTTTTCATGCTTTTGTTAAAGTGTTAAAGAAGACTGCCTGATGAAGCATTGGTCTGCTCCCTCTCTTTCTTTCACTGACCTGGAACCTGGCTGGGCCAGTGTGAATTTAGGTCTGATTAAAAACAAAATACAGACAGGTGATAAGGTGATTTGGCATCTGTGACATTTAACTATAAGCTAATTGTGAGGACTTCTGAAAGTCACATTCAGTGACCAAGGTATAATGTTTGATCCAGCAGAGAAACAGGGACCAAAGTGACGTAATGGATCTCCCTAAAGAAAGTGTACAAATAGGAAAATTGACTTTTTTTTTTTGTTCCTGTTGTGGTTTATAAGTCAAATATCTAAAAAAAAACCCTGAAGTCTCTTACTAACTATGCAGCTACTACAAATGAACTGAGATAATCACTCAGCAACACTTAAGAAGTTACAACTTGTTTTAGCTGCAGTGCAAAGTAGATACTGACATTTTAACAGTTACTGACTTTTTAGTTGCTCTTAATAAGGAAACTATGCCAAATCATTTTGGTTTCTTTTGCACTGATTTAAAAAAAAAACAAAACAGTTAAATTTAGCAAATGGCATTCAGATTATGCATTTAAGTTGAAATAGCTACAAATCAACTACAGATAAATATAAGGTTATATTAGATCACACTATGTTCTCCTGTGTTGCAAATTTACTCAAAACTGTTCTGAAGCTTTCAAATTTGTTTAAATGTTTGTGACATGAGAAAAGCAAAATTAGGAAAAAATTCAAGCTTTATTAGACAAAGAGAAGAGCTGAGGACAGATCACTGTTTGCCTTCTCATATTGGTTACTTTGGCTTTCAGCATGGCTCTTAAGATAAAATAGAACAATTATGAGCTGGTTAAAAGCAAGGAAACAGAGTAAGAAATTAATGTTTGGTTTTGACAATAAGAGAAATCTTATCACAGCAGTCCTATGCCAGGTCTATGCCAGGCCTTGTACCATTCATGATGCAGTTTTTGTTATAGGAAATAACAAAAGGAGAAGGAATAGTGAAAAGACCCTGTTATGAATACAAAATTACTTGTGTAGCCAAAAGGATAGGAAGAATTATAGAAGATCCTGTCATATCAAATCATCAGCTTATAAAATAGCAAGTGAAATTCATTGTTGATAAATGTAAAGTAGTATGCTTAAGAAAAATTGACCCAAATATCCATACATATTTATGCATATATATTTGCATGTAAGTGTATATATACCCTGTGTAACTAATTATACATATACATAATGATACAATCTTAATTGGCTATTACAATTTGGGACAGTTACTGCGTGTAACCTTATAAGTATACCAATTTTATGTTCAGTGGGTGTCAAAAAGACAAATAGAATATTAGAAGCTTATAGAAATAGAATAGATAACAAGTGATATAAGCCCATTATGATAAAGAATAAGCCCAGGTACAATTCTGGCAACCTTACCAAAAAAAGATGTATGAGAAATCTACAAGGGAAAAATTAGGAGGATGGCAGGGTTCATGGCCAGGTTGGACATGGCCTTGAGCAACCTGGTCTGCTGGGATGTGTCTCTACCCATGGCAGGAATTAGATTGTCCTTTTCAACTTTTCTGTGACTTATGGCGCATGAACATTTCTGTACCAGGATAAGTTAGAAAGCTCTAAAATCACTAACCAGGACAGAGAAAGTGAGGAGTAATGATTATTGCTTTTACCCATTACGGAGCCTCAAGTACAATTATCAGGCAACAGCTTTAAAACATAGAAGTATGTTTCCTCATAGCTCTTATCTATCTTATCTAGGTCCTGGAACTCATCGTCATAAAATGTAGGTTTCATTAAGTGTAAATGTTAAAAAAATTAAAACAAAAAAAAGTTGAAAATGTATGCAAGAATGTAAACCATAACCCATTAAAACAAAGACATAGATATAATCTCTAGCTTAGGACAGTAAACTACTTGATCTTCCAAAGGATGAGAGAATTTTTATTTTTTGGGTTCTTCATGTTTTCCCACATTTTCCATTCTTAAGCTCTGTAAGGTTTTGTTTTACTTGCCTCCTCCATGTAAGCATATGCCTGTAGTCTGACAACTATTTTAACCATTATGAATGCATCATACTTTTCTGTAGATACTTGCTAGTAATTGTCAAATGTTCACAGCATTCTTAACCTGCCAACTGCTATGAAATTCAGTGATGCAATTTCAGCATCCCAGAGTAATGCAAGAAGTGTTTCTATTTATTCCTTTCCAAATTACTCATTAACTTTCACCTGGTATATTTTACATTTTCTGATTTGTCCTGGGTTCAGCAGTAGCAGTCATTTTTCCCCTTCTTGGAATATAACCTTGCAATTCTGAACTGCTAAGGCTTTCAGGAATGGAAAATTGAATAAAACACAACTTACAGATACACAGTCCTATAATCATCCCATTCGCTTAGCCATGAAATGAAGAACTGAACAGCCATTCAAAACCATTGTTTTACCTTAAACTTGTGTTCTGAAAAACACTTCTAGAGACTGATTCTTAGTGCATTATTAAAACTCTATTAATACCATGACCAAAGAGAATAAATTAAAACTAAGAGAAAAATACATAATAAAACACACTTCCACATGTAGCTGGCTTTCACTTGTGATTCATCATAATCTTGTAACTTTGAGGAATGTATTTTTTATTCTCAAAACACAAATATCCACTGTTACATTTGTTATTGTCAGTTGAAAACTGTGCAGTAGCCTACAGTCCACGGCACATTCTTTGAAGCAGGTGAGAAGAGAGAAGGGGCAGAAAAGGAAGCAGGACAACAGAAAAGAGTTTTGAAACTATCAGACTTCATTTCTGAACAGTTAAATTTCAAATTCAGGCCACTCTGCAACTGCGCAAATAGAGGAGAAAAGAAAAAGACAAAAAATTTTTTTCCTTAAAATGCCTGAAGAGGTTGTGTGTACAATTATATTCCACCACATTTAAACTATGGTTGTACAAGTACCCACTCCTAGTGATACATGTGGGTGCTAGGGATATAGATAGTAGTAGCCTGGGGAACATAAGAAAGGACTACAGAGCCCTGGCGGAGGTGGTTAGGGGCTCTGGAGCTCAGGCAGTCTTTTCATCAATTCTCCAGGGTACAGGAGAGGACCTAAAAAAAGCTAGGAGGATTAGCTAGGTTAATAACTGGTTAAAAGGGTGGTGTCATCGTCAGGGGTTTGGGTGCCTTGAACAGGGGACCCAAATTTGTAGGCCAGGTCTAAGTGGGGGCTGGTGGAGCTGGTGTGATGATAAAGAAGGGAAAGAGCAGTT